AATCCAGTTTGTTGCCAAATTTGTGCATTCGCGACGTGATTCCAGAAGAATACCTAGCACACTCATCGCTTCATCGCTATTCGCATGACAGTCAGTTTGTCCTCATTGGCTTCAGTAGCAGACCAGCATTTAGTGCCGTAGATTACGCAGGTAGCACGGTTGAATCGAACAGTTCTTTTTTGACTCGCATGGACAGCTCGCTGTTGAGTAATGACGTTTTCATGCGATTAAAGCTGGCCCAAGCTGCCTTTCTTCTTTGACTTATTTCCCCATCTGGGGTGTTCGTGTGGTTCGCCTGGCGACATATGAGGTATGTATGAGGCAATGACTTCTGCGAGTTCTTCGCCCTTCGCATAGACAGAACTTTCAGGAAAGCTCTACTTTGGCATCCATTTCGACTGGCATATGTTAACCTCCTAATCGATCATGGGAGATTCTTCTTGCAACTGTTGTATTGTGTCTTCTGCGAAGACAATGCAGTTAGCCCTGAAACACCAACTGCATTAGCTGCTTTCGATCAATATTAATGCTTTAGCCGATTGAAGCGAAGAGTGACTACAGGACCCCAGCGAAGAGCGATGGTGAGATCGCATCTCCTAGGCGCGCTCTGCAATAGAGACGGGTGCGACATGGTTCGCGGAACAGCTTGAAATCACTCTTGCAACCGGTGTTCAATTCCGCAAGCAGGTTAGCGTAAACACGGTTTGTGTGATGTTCATGCAAGGCGATGAACGAAGTCATCACTTACTTCCGAGTCAAGTGCCTTCTTGTAATCTATGAAAGCGAAACAGTGGCAGGTGATATTCATGCATTTCTCCTTCAGTGGGGAGAGTAGAATACATGCAGTGGAAATTTTTCTAATGAATTCTTGTGTTCCTGAAGGTTTCTCAGACACTTAGGTCATGTTGCAAAACAATGACTGAGGATTTGATAGTTTTACAGGAGGTGCTCGAGCGTTATTTACAAGTAGGAGGTCTGTTGGGAGCCACCATTGTCCAGTTCTTTATATTTCCATCTTAAATATCCGTTCAATACTTTTAGACGCATTCCGAAGAAGTTCTTACTGAAAGGGTACTGGGATGTGCCCCAATGCCTCCTGTTGGCGATTTAATTGATTCCGGACAAAGATCTATCTTCTGTATTTGCATATCTGTTAGTGTCCTTAGAGATTGAGTGTTGAGTGACATTGTTTTACGACCACTGTTTTGCTTTGCAAAATTTCAGGTGATTTTTAACAGTCTTATGTAACAGCAATTTTCGAAGCCGTAACACTTTACAACTCATAGCATACGAGTGTGATTACTTTTCTCTTATACAATAACTTTTCCTTGTTATGGTAAATTTTTTCCTAAAAGTTGTTGTCGGTGGTGCAACTTTAAAAGTTCGACCTTTCTGCTACCTTTTTCATTCTGGATTCTGGATGGTGCTTCTGCTTCGGTTTATTACGTAGTCTCATTCCATTTAATACCAAATGTTTGGTGCAGTTGTTGGTTTGTACCATCTGTTACGGTAGGTGCTCTGTCAGCTGAGTAGCACAGGTTTGAACTCATCGGTGACGCCATTTAGCATTAATCGAATTATTACTGCAACATTGCTATATTTACTCCTAAGCAGATCTTAATCAATCCTCTATGCGTTATTGCAGCCCCTGAATGTAAAAATAATTCCTGTTTATTCTTACCTGACAGTCCACCAGACATCGATCTGGCGCCAGATATATGATCTAAGTAAGGGAGAAAAGTTTATAGCCGCTGAAACGTCCGTCTGTCTTGATTATACCGTCATGATTGGCTCATATCTGGCGCCCTTTTTTATGAAATTAAAGAGACTGGATGTTGATCTCCATTTCCATGCCGTCAGCCACCAGTGCCTCATTTTAAAGGCCAAGTATACAGCAGCTGTATGCAAAGATAGTGTGTAGTTTCTTATTTTCTTCCTACACAGTGGTATTCATTTATCAACCTTGAAAGAAAGAGGGGTGAATGCCCTGGGCTCGAACTCGGGACCATCCGTTTTTGAATCCGATGCTTCATCGGCTGAGCATCTCCGGTTTGAATATGCGTAATAATATAAATCGCGCTGATACTGACTGGATAGACAGCAGCATCTGCTGACATGAATTTTGGGGCCAATGTAACGTTCAGAACGAAAGCTAATTAACTATACACTCAAATATTTCCTGAAGAGATTCCACCGTGTTCAGTGATGTCAGAATTAACTTCGTAAATTGCGGGCGAAGGAATCATTTGATTGCGAATGTGGCCACGTACAGACGATGGCACAAAAGCTGCCAACGCCACTTCTTAAGCCCACCTCGATCGAACGAAACCGACCCACGATCCACTTGACTGTGGAATAGTAATTGAAGCTGCAAATAGGAACTTTTGGAATTTTTGGACGTCAAATAAAAGTACAGAACTATGCAGATTTAGGCTATAGGTTGTTACTTGCTTGTCTTCACCCCTTTTTCTTTTAGATGACGTGATTTTGGAAGTTTTTCTGAATATCCGATGCTGCAGTTTTATTATCACGCAGCAATGTTAACAATGAGTGAATCCGAAAGCAAGTTTTGCAGACATATCTGCTCGACTTCGGTTTTAACCTTGTTTCGTATACTTTAATGATTAAATACCAACTATTTTCGCTGGAAGGCGATTATGTCATAAAGTTCTAAGCCATACAAACGCATGTTCATTAAAATTAAGTAAATAATCTCGAATCCTCATTATTTATGAAAGACTTGAGCGTATTTATGTTGAGAAATCACGCACATCATGCTGAGAAAGTCGCGGCATGACTTGTGATCGTCTGGTGATGGGCCTCTTCCGCGATCGCCGTAAGATGTGAATTGCGAGTAATTAGGCGTGGCGGTGAAGCGGAATACCTTTTTATCAGGTCCCGACCGTAAAGCCATCTTTGGTTCGATTTCGGCCGTAGCCGTTATGAGCGACACACAATAAGACCGAAACCAGTACGTTGTACGAAACTAACTGTAATTGGTGTTTCCTGCCATGCGGTGCATTGTAATCTGTGCGAACAAACCTGTTTCTCCAGCTCCATGTTCCCTCGTTAAGGGGTCATCGCACGAACTTCATCCATCAGCTACTTACGACGTCGTTGATGATGAATGCGATTCACCATCGTCGTAATTGTCGTCGTTGCCACAGTCAAATGTAGTTTATGAAAGTTTATGTCAGGGCTGCAAAAGTGATCATTTCCGGTGTTGTTAAGACACATCAAGGTCCCACCCTGTTCCACTTTTTCTCCAGATGTGACATTTTGCAGTCGACCGCTACTCGCTCTGAGGCAGTCTCACTTCTCAAACAGCTTCTGGTGAGAGCGTACACTTCACTCTGAAGTCTGCTCGATGCTGTTTTTCGAAACTTATAAAACGACGTCTCTCAAGAATTCGTTCACAAAACAGAAAAAATCATTTTCTTGCCCATTCATTCGCAATATGGAAGAACTGCAAATTGCAAGTTGTTTGTGAATATCTCCAGAATTTCTTACTCTGTTGGAGGTAGAGCCCTAAACTCGTCAGAGCATCATAGATTTCATTAAAGTGGTCAAACATCAAAATGTAATGAGTTAAAATGTTAAGCAATCTGCACCTTTAATGATGTATGATGGGACGCTTCAACTTTGATTCAATTTTTGTGAACATTATGAGTTAAACGTAAAAGTTGAACTGTTGTTGACAGTTCAGCGAGGATTGAAACTGATAATAATTACTCTTTAGTTCTTTCGTACTTATGTTCTTATTTCTACTTCTTGTTTCTGTTGAAGACAGTTTTAATCAGATTGATGAGACACTCTTCGTCAAGTCGAGCAGATGCGCAGAGTCATTCCTAGCAGATTCAAATTCGACCCCCTCCCCCAATGGTTCGAATGTGCACGGTTGTATGTAGATGTGATGTCTGAGCGACACGACTACTTCGGTTGCAGTCGAGAATGGTATTTGTCAGTTATATCATTCAAACAGTAAAATCATAATGTTCTGTTCATGCCTTCAGCTCTATCCCCCCTGATCATGTAAATTCAGTTGTTTATTGCTTTCGGCGTTGTGTGATGGATAATTATATTGCATTTTATTATATTTTTTGAACAGTATCTTCATTCATAAAGTCTGCTATGTGACTTTGGGAAATATTGCTTGCTCACGTTTCAGATTTCCAAGCGGAGGTTGTTACCTTGCCTCTTTGACACCGCGGTATTTCTTGAGAGAATTGCGTGAACAGAGTGAATTCTTGGTCAGTCGTTATTTTAGTCTTAACAGCGATTTTTATGTACGGTTAGTGTCAATTTTGTTATAAGTGCAATGGGTTTCATCCATTTACATGAGCTGTTGCTTTTGACAGAGGTCCTTGCAGATGCTAATACAACAGGTATGAATGTAATTGACCTAAAGTTAACATGAAAAGGTTGCCAACATCCGGTATTTTTTCGAGTTCATAATATTCTGTCAAGGTTACTGCTGCTGTTTGGAGACGAAAAGTGCACTTTTGCTACACTGTTTCTTATTTGGCTCTGTTAGTCATGTCTTACGTTTGCTCAGGCTTTCTGCGCGACGCGAAAGAACGATGAGAAATTGATGGATCAACGTGGAAATGATAGTTTCATTTCATTGATCCTTTTTCGTACTGATATTCCTTTGAATTTTTTTTACTTTATCTCTTTTTAGCATTGTTCTTTATTTAAATATTACTTATGTAGCCTGTTGGTCGTTCGTAGTTCGCTGTCACTCAACAGACGAATGTTTTTCAGCATGAATATCCCAAATACGAAAAGGGCAGGTTCATGTACCGCATCAGCCGATCTCCGATGTGTGAATACATGAACAATTTCATCCACAAGCTGAAAAAGCTACCAGAGCGCTACATGATGAACAGCGTGTTGGAGAATTTCACGATTTTACAGGTACGGAAAATCTTGATCATTATCAGTGTGCTAATTCCCGAGTTTTCTCTTAATCCGACATAGCATATGTTCAACGCAGCAACCACCGACTTGGCCCTATGTGTCCTACCCCATGACTTGTGTCGGTTTTGATGAACGTCTCACGAATCAGTTGCTAGAGACGAAGGCAGTGTTTTTCTGAAGGAAGAAAAAGCAACCAGCGCGATGAA